TCACAAAAACGTGACTAAATTAGAACCCACTAGGTAAACTAAGATCTTCAAACACCCTATCCCTGAGTTCAGACAGGGTCAGCGTTTGTCCATATCCAAACAATATGCCACTGACCAAGTACTGAAAAAAATTAAGTAAAAAAGGGGAATTCTCTATCACAAAAACCAAGAAGAAAACAGAGAATGAAGAACTCACTTGGAAAAGAAACAATGGAAGATCCTCCGTCATATGAAACAAGTCAAAGATCGGCTTTCTTGTACACTTTGCCTCATTGATATGTGTCACAAAAATCTGATTCCTCATGACAAGGCAAAAGAAGGAAAGCAACAAAGTTCCGATGAGCAGGACCCAAGGTTGAGTAGGGTCAACATCATGCACACACTCACAGCTCAAGGCAGGAGTATTGTAATTCCAGTCCTGCACTAGACAGCCAGGAACTGGAAGTACTGTCGGTTCTAACTCCGTCACATGACTTGTCATCAGCCCAAGGCAATGAGCAGCATTTCGCATAAACACCTTTCCGTCCTTTGGACAGAAGAGTTTACTTGCAAAGAATTTGTCAAGTAGTTCTGGAAAAAACAAACACTCAAAATAAAAGGTCAAAAGGGGTTTTACTCAAGTACAATTACTTCATTCCTCTCCTCACCATTAGACACATCAACCTTAGCAGCATTGCGCAATTTCAGAATAACAAATCCAGTATTCACGACATGTTTTGAAACATCAGGCTCCTGAGGAGCAATTGCCAATCTTTTTACACTCGTTGGTGCTGAAGACGCAGCACTGGGACTAGGCCTCTTCACCGCAGCAGCGGTAGATCCTCCACTTGGTGTTGATGGACCAGATGCCGAAGCAGTGGCTGCAGCATATGTTCTCTGGTGAATTGACATCCTTGCAGTCGTTGCAACACCTTTATGTTTGTCCGTGAACTTCTTGACAAGCGCTCCGATGGAGCCAATCCAAAGAGACACTTTCGTGACCCCTTCACCAAACAAGACAGTCAGCAACTGATCTGAAATCAAGAAACAGAACAAGATCAATATTAAAAAACCGCTCAAAATTGAAAACGAACATTTGTTCTATACACACCTTCCCGCTTCACCTCACAAAGAGGCCCTTCCTCCAAAACCAAATTGGTCAGCCCTTGCAGCAGGACGGCCAACATAGCAAGATCATGGACTGACCTTTGGCAAACACTACTCGTAAGCTGCACCGTGCTCAAGTTTGCTTCCGTAGTTGCCAGAATGGCCAACTTACGGTGCAATTCCGACACCTTCTTTTGCTCAGCAAGCATCTCCTCATAGGACGTCATCTCAGCAAGGTTGCCTTGTATCTTGGAGATTTGCTGTTTTTTCTTGTCTGACCTCTCCTGAAGTTTCTTCACTTGAGTCTCCAGACCATGTTTAGCAATCGTAGCAAGAGACTTTGACTTCACAACAGCCACCAGATCCAGAAGTTGTTCCCATTCCCCTTCCAACAGTGACGTCAACTCCAATGACCGGCTTACAAGGGAGGTCGGCAAGGAGAATGATTTGGCCTCCACAACTGGAAAAGGCTCTTTGACTTCCATAGTGACATCTTTAAGATCACAAACCAGCATTAGAATCAATGAGAAATCAATCAATTTAAACAAGATTAAAATCCTACAAATTCATCTAATTCAGGTTTGGGCTCTTACCTTCAGTTGGCAACGCTTCATCAAGCAACAATTTTCTTTCAGAAACGGTGGAGTCGGACAAATTTTCATCTGAAATTATACAAGTCTATCAAAATCTCTTTAAATTCTGAAATCATCCTTTAGACGTAACGTTCTTTAAATTCTGAAATCGTCCTTTAGACGTAACATTCTTTAAATTCTGAAATTGTCCTTTAGACGTAACGTTCTTTAAATTCTGAAATTGTCCTTTAGACGTAACATTCTTTAAATTCTGAAATTGTCCTATAGACGTAACTCTCATTAAAACCATAAATCATTCAGTAAACATTCAGTATCTTCTTTAAATTAAATCATCCTGTAAACAAAGCTCTTTTTACAACCTTGAAGCATCCTTTCAACCAAAAAATTATTTAAAAACAACAAACTGTTAGAAATTAAAACTAGAAAACTCACCTTGTTGAACTCCCGGATGTTCAGAGATTTCTGATGCAGACAAAGCCATCACTTTTTTTTTATCATTCGAATCGTAACAAACTTGAAAAACCAAGTATCAAACCTGAGGTATTACAAAAATTTCACAAACCCACAAGATCTGAAATAAAGAGGTATTATTCTCAAATTCAATCATACTCCAAAATCAAAACCTCAAAGGGTCAACACTACTTCCGACCCACTACAAGATTTTATTCGCTCTGAAATAGAGTGACCTTTGGTCACACAGACTCAAAATTTCTGCGACAACAGAAAAATTTGGCATGGAAAGTTTCGCGACCTTTGGTTGCATAGATTCTACTATTACTAAAACGCATGGAAAGTTAGCAACCTCTGGCCGCATAGATTCTACCCTAACAAAGGGGAAGCGTTACAACTACTTTTTAAGGTCCAGGCGATGGATTTGGGTCTTTTAACATAAGACCACTACTCCTTGGACTTTTGACCTCCAACTGGGGAGGCTACGCGACACTAGACTATTCGTCAAAACGACAGATAAGTCTCAAAAGGGAGAAGTTTGACCTTTGGTCGTAAAGACTCACGGTTTTTTATCACGTACAATAAAAAAAAGAAACGCACTCTAGAGAATTAAAAAAGGGGATGAAAACTGATTTACCGGAATCAAGAATTATTCAAATTCACCAAACATCCAAGCTTGCAACCAAATCACTGCACTGACAAAGGACACCTATACGCATCACACTTCACTGACTTCATCGAGTATATTTTCCACTTCGAGATCTGAGACTGGCCAGCTCAGATCTCAAACTCTTATTCTTTTTGACTACTAACAGTTTTTTCACACTTTCTTGACTATTTTTTCTAATTAAAGATTTTATACCTAGACAACCGAATCCAGGTCTCTGCTCAACAGAACTATGTAACAGAAGCTCAAAATTTGGCGGTTATATTCATCTCGCCAAGCAGACATGACGCACCAAACCAGTACAATACATCACCCTCATCAATGGCAACTCATCTACACAAAGACACACCCCCACCTATTCTCAGCAACTGCCAATACCAGGACACGCCTCAAAAAACAAGTTACCAGCAGCTGCAGGAAGACAAGAATTTATGACTTTGCATTACCTTCAAACTTCTAAGCTTTACAACCGGATTTTTTTTACGTGTTTTGCCGTCGCAAATGTTTAATACCCTTGCTTACTGAGAATCGGCTCTACCTTCCATAGAATTGCGCAACGACCCTTTGCTTCTTCAGAACTCATACTTTCCTCGTAAACAAAGGGGGGGGGGTTTGTTGCAAATTTTCTGAGGCACTTCTGCAGAACCAAGCATATCAAATTTAATCGCCAGCCTCGAGCTGACAGAAAGTAATTTTTCATGTCACTCTTCTCAAACGTTTTGAACTTAATCTTCAAAGAGAAAAACGCCAAACGGCGCCTTTAGAATTGTAAGTAATAAATAGAGGCAAGTTTTGGCAATTTGCCGAAACTCGTCCTTGGATCCTTCCGTGAGAATTGGGTTACTCACCCATTCTCACAAGAACCAAAAAAACGGACCTTTAGTCCTTGAACTCCTAAAAAACCGTCAAATACCAGTAACTGTACCCCAACGGCGGAAGCTGTAATCTAACCCAAAATCTCTGTGAAAACTTCCACAAGAAACCCCTTTTTTCCTGAGGAAATGTCTCAGGATTTCGAATCACTATCCCTCAAACCATCGCACTGTGCGGAACAAACAAAGTACTGGCAAACTTATCAAGACTGTTGGAAAAACTTGTGAATTTTGTGAATACAACTCTTTTAAAATAGGGCGTTCTTGAGCACCCCGGTTGCAGCCCAACCAATTCCTGTGTTATATTTTTTCTTTCCTTTGTGTACAATATTCTACATTCAAACCTTCGTGACACTTGGAAAATATATATCTAATATTGCCAAACATTTAAATGTTTGGCACAGAAATTAATCCAACCCACTTTTGGGTTCATTTATTTTATTGTCATTGAAATATCAATTATTTAGCCTCACCTGGGGCTCGTTTTATTCAGTGCATTGTTGTTCATTTGTGTCAATAATGTGCTTGTACTTATGCATTTATTTTCTGTGTTACAGAACTTGCTTGCTTTCATTTGTTTGTTCATTTGCTTGCTTGCTTTTGTTTGTTCTGCTTTTTGTTCAATAAATCATTTGTTGGTTCATTCTTTCCTTCCTTTGTTCACAAACTTGTCATCATTTTATTATTCTAATTTCTTTTGGGTATCTTCTTAAATTAAAGATAAATTAACTGATGTCCCTGGTCCTCCGAATTATTTTATATCCAACTTGAATTCAGAATTCTAACTATAATGTGCGTGAAAAAACAAGCGCCACACATACACTGCATGTGTTCCTTGCATATAACTTGAATTCTCTCCTGGACTTTGCTGTGAAGCAATGTCATGATGGATCACTACATAATTCAAACTGCTCTTTGAATGAAAACAGAAAAGGTTTACAATTTCCTCAAATTTGACTATTCATTATCTTCACGAGGACGTGGGAAAACTATTGAAATCTTCGAGCGTCAGTACTGTAGTTCCTGAAATATTACGAAATTTTTTATGAGTAAGACAGGTTCTTTTTAAATCAGCTGAATACTGATTGAACATAGTCTGTTATTTTTTCTGTACTATTTGAGACATCATGCTTGGGGTTTCATGAGCATTCAAGAGCTAAGTTATTTTTTCCATTGACTTGACACCCTCAAAGCACTAATTTCAGTGGTGCGAAGCCTTTTGAAACGAACAGATCACTGTGTGGTGATTTGCGTCATCTATTTTGCGAACTTGATTCTGAAGTCTTCCGTTTGATTTTTCCTTGACCGAAACCAGTCGCTTCATTGTCGTAGGTGTTGGAGGTGGTTGCGGAAACGCGGATTTCAGAGATGAACTTCGTGACGGCTCTGAGGCAGATCTTGGCCGCCGAGTTTGGTTCACAGCCAGTGGCTGTCGGAGGAGTATTTCTTTTGGAGTCGGGTACAGCGTGGTGCCATGTGATGCCTGGGTTCTCTGACACTCCTTTGTGTAGTGATGCAGAAGTGGATGAGTGGCTCCGGTACTACGAGATGCATGCGCCGCTTTTGTTCTGCTCCGTTTTCGTCTCACACGACCCGGTGAGTGCCTTCCACGAGCGCTGAGCTATTTAGACTTTTGTATTGTATTTGCGCGAATACGAGACGCACATGTTATCCCGAGTTTTGCTCTCTGGCAATCGAAGCCGCGTGCTACAATCGATGGCATCGTTGCATCTCAACGTGAGAAGTATTTGTTTTCTCGGTGGACACTGAAGAATCTAAACAACCCATTTCACTAATTATACCGTTGTTCCGCAACCCGTGTCGGTCCGCGGGAGGAATTCCTATTAATGAGGAATGCATGTTCAAGAGAAATTGCTTAGCGGTCTTCGTCGTCAACTTCAGGAAAATCTAGACTTATAATTTTCCAACGCAAGCTCTGAGAATGTCGGAGGTTTTCGGGGATTGGCAATTGATTGATGAAGCCATGGGGAAACTCGGGTCCCTTTTCCTGTCGAAAATGCAAGTACTCCCAGTACATTACACAAAGCCAAATTTCAGATTTTTTCCTCATATTTTCTCAACAGAATGATGGTTTATGTACGTCTTGAACAACTCTTCCGTTACTTCTAACTGGAAAATTTAAACGCGAATAGAATACTGTTCGAGAAAATATGTGATTTATTCTGGTCATAATTAATTTTTTGATTACTGTACAATAGTTTGTTAGTGTAATTGATTCGGTCTTGTCATTGCGTGAATGCGGTTTGTTCAAAGATGAAAATTACTTCTTATCTGAAGATATTCCGTACAGTACATGAGTACAGTATTTGATGTGAAACACCTTGAAGGTGGCAAACTTTCACTTGGAATTTATTCTCGCTGACTGTGTCAAACAGGGTCTCGATCTGAGGATGGAGCATTCTCATGGATTTGGACCAGACGGACTTGGACACTACCACTATGACACGACGCCAGAATCCGTGAAATATCGCGGTTATTTCACCGTGGGCGAGCAGATCGTTCGTGCGGACAAGCCCTGAGTCTCTTCGGATCACTTGACTAGAACAATATAGCTGTATCTTTTATCGGGTCGGGAATGGGCTATAAATTCTTCAAAGGATTCTTCGGGCTTAATTTCATCATGAAGCTTCTCCTGGTGAGTTTTTCGGACATGTAGTCCTGTGCTTTCCAGAGTGCTCGTTTAATTTTCGTTTTCGTCCTGTGAGTGGGGAAAACTGATGGCATTCTAGGACGCCCAAGTAACCTCTTCATTTTACCATACTGCCGTGTGACAGCCAGGGAAGGAATTTTATGTGACGAGAGTGTTGAAAGCCCAATGCAGGCAGTGTTGAAAAAGTTCTATACTTGTTGATTACCAAATCGCACAATGACGATCTCAATGTCTTCTTTGAGTAACGGTGGTATTTTATTGTAAATTACGTGGTGAACCAGCAAAGAATGAACCTCTTTTTCCTACTTCAAGAGAAATTCTCGATTTTTTTCGAAATATTTTCTTTCAATCCTGGTTACGGTAAACATTTTTCCAAGTATCCTCGCTTCAAATGCACCTGCTTCATTTGATTTCAAATTCTCTTGAGAATATGACGAAGCATCTTTCAAACGAATGATATTCCTTTTGTAATTTTGTCGATGGCATAAGTCCAATTGTTCGGAAGCTAGAATCGTCCATTATTTTAGTCCACACTGTACAAGAATACGTAGTACTGAAGATGAGCTAATGCCCTGCTGAGAATCCCCGGTTTTCCGCGGAACTGGGCCAAGTTTCGGCTCAGGTTGATTTTTGTTTTTGTGCGATCCCTTTCGTTTGCCAGCTTGAAAATAAGTGCCTCTACATTCTTCATTTTTAGTTTCATGCACAATATGTTGGATTTGGGGTTACTCCAATTCCGTGTTAATTCTGGCAATGCTGTTCTAATGTATTGATGCAATATATTTTACTACGTTGTACCACTTTGATATGGGAATAATGATAGAATTGTTAATGTGAATAAATTAAGAGGTGGTTTAAATTTAATCTTTGCTTCCGCGCGGGTTTTATTTTTTTACTGTTACCTATGGGTAGCTTTTGGTCCAAGTGCCTCTTCTGCTAAATTCGCAAAGCGTAATTCGCGTATTAGTCTTGGAATCTTTTGCACGATGAACGATTTTTCTGACATCCACGAAGTAACAGTTTTTATGAGCGAACTTCGCCTCAGACGAAGCAACCCCCGCTTTCTCTTCGGTGGGTTCGTGATGAAAGAGAAATGTGTCGTGAGAGGATCGGGGGAGCTTTACACGACCTGATGTGCTATGTATGCTTGCAGGTGTTCGTGCTGCTGGGCTTGGCTGCTGGGGAGAACGCGAGACAAGACGATTATCTTCATAACATCTCGCAGGTGTTGAAAGTGCTGGCTGAAACCCTGCGCAATAGTAGCGAGTTTCTCGTTGCGATTCACGACTTCCTGGAGGATGTTAACAGGAATTCGCCTTGAAATGTTGAGGGGCTTCTTGAAGGGTTTCAGGGAAACGAAGAAAGTTTGCGGAAAATTCTTGGGGAAACCTTTCAAGGCAGTATAAGGATCAGTTGGTCAGGTACTAACTTCAGTGTTACGCTGCGTAGCACCTGACGTGGACATGGGGAACCAGGATAAGGTCGAGAAATCTCCGTCGTGGGCCAAGATGAGAACCGAGGTGACTTTTTAGACTTACCGCTGCTTCTCTGTGCTGGTAGTGCCGTGTACACCTTGTTGTTCTGCATGTTTTAAAATTTTTTGGTTATTATAGTGCACTTATCTGTCCTTTCTTCGGCGGTTTTTCAGTGCATTGTTCTGAATTGTTCATGGGTTTCATGACCTTTTTTGTGTGTCCGCTCGGTGATTGTTCTAAAGATTTTGAAGGTGATACATTTCTTCAACTTAATCCTTAAATGTTGCATGTCAAATGTCTTCAGGTTGTCAAAAATTTCTTCTTTCAAAATTTGAAGAATATTCAGCGGAGTGTTTCCCGAAGTTTGATCGAAAATCGGTATGAAAGTGGGGATCATTGCTTTGAGTGTGGAATTGCAGCATATTTTCTGACATGGGACCGATGAAGTTTTACTAGAACATTTCTTTCTGTACCGTGTGAGCCTTTGTCCAAACGAAAACTTTCCCAGTTCAACCAGAAAAAAAAACCGAATTACTTAATCCAGGCCTACTTCTGCTGTAAGTGGGTGCTCTCGTCCAGTGAGTCTGTGTTCCCCATACAGTGAACTTGAATTTTCGACGCACCCTTGAAATGTTATTGAAGAAACTCTCCGTGTAAAGTGAAGCATGGCAGATAAAATTCTTGGTATTCTGTCGAGAGATAACAACCGAATTTCTTTATCTTTCAATCTAATAAGCATTGATCAGTTAACCAAAAAAAAAGCATCATTTCCAACTCAAAAAAAAAAAGACTCGTGTGAATTGAAAAATTTCAAGAATTCGAGAGATGCGCTGGTTATTTTTTGCGGAAGGATTGTAAAGAAACCATATAGGGCTGTATTTCTCAGATTCTAGAAACATTTAGTGGTTGCCAGCTGCCTTTTTAATCCTGCGGTAAATTCGAAAGAAGAACGTGTTGTTATTGCAGTTGTTTTGTTGGTTATCTCTTTTTATTTTCTCGAACCGTGGAAAACTTGTGACTGATCAAGATTTCTTCGAGCCAAAAGCTTATACCGGAGAACCTTATGCCTATCAGCTTTTCAATAAGGCAAAATTCTGAACTTTCAACGAGCTGCGAAGTATGGCATATCATGTTGGCATTTACGAGAATTCAGTTTCCTACGCATGGCAATTGAGTTGAACTACCCCATTCAGACTATTGCATGAATCAGGGCGAAAGGTTGAGTTTTGAAGAACACTCCTAGGAGTGCTAAGACGCACTGCTTCAAGAAATCTGTTCTCCGTATTCACATCACATGGTTTCTGATTTTGTACTGCTCCCTTCCATAACAGTGAGACATGTTTATCTTGGCCGCATGGCGTTTTGTTAGTTTTGTTGGTAAGGTCTCTTTTGTAATAATATGGAATACTCTACTGCACGTCTCCGCCGATTCTTTCGTTCGGTCGTTCTGACTTTCTGGTGATTATACGTTTCCGTAGGTGTTGAGTAGGCTGCTATCAATGTCATTCCAGCACGTATGAAAACACATTGTTGTACAGCCGTGTTGAATCCCTTCAAATAACTTTTTCACTGTTCAATGGTTGAGCTTTTCATTTGCTCGAATTTCACTGTATGTTTCCATTTCATTTCCTAGAAATAGCTTCGAAGTTTTTAAAAAAAAATGAATATTCTTGTGCTTCGTTCATGCTGCCGAAGAGCACTGGAGGCTTCCTCAGCCAGGAGAAACGGGTGAGTGTATTCCTTGGAGAATTTGAGCTTGAGACTTGCATTGATCTGTTCTTGGTCGACCGGAACTCACTTATCTTACTTGATTCAGTCAGCATTCACGGGTCTTTCATATTCTTTTAAAGCAGTTGTTGACTGATGTTGTGTGCTACAACACGGAAAATAACATTTTATGATCTGAAAACATCGATGGAAACTGGGCATGGTTTACGTGGCACATTATGTCGAACTATAAAACGGTGGGACCAATGATGAAAAGCGAGGATAGGCCTTTTTAAATCTCGAGTATATTTTCCGCACGCATACTTTTTTCTGCATTCTTCAGAGAGTAACTGGATTTTTTACAGCCTTATGGAGGGAAGATCACGAGCATGCCGAAGTTGCCAAGACCGCTTGACCTGGAGGAGAAGAAATACATGTTGTCCGTGGAGAAGGGCGATATTGCTGCGACGAAAAGGTGCTCAATTCTGCTGGTTTCTCGGAGCCGTTTCGCGTGTGACTAGTTATCTATGTGCTTGCAGAATTCTCTTGAGAGCCAAGCGAACTGGTCAGCCGAATGTCAACTGCAGAGACCCGTTGGGGAGAACCGCGTTGAACCTGGCCATCGACGCGGAGAACTTGACCATGGTTGAATTGCTGGTAGTGATGGGAGTACAAACCAATGATGCCTTGCTGCATGCCATCACTGTGGGGTTCGTTGAAGGAGTTGAACTTCTGTTGGAGTACGAAGAAATCGTCCATCAGCCCGGTGAACCTTATGTCCGTTGCATCTCGCGTTCTGTTTTTTTCGGGAGCTGGAAGCAAATTTCTTCTGCAGAGCTGGGAGAAGGTGGAGAGGAACATCGCGAGTTACACCCCAGACATCACTCCTTTAATTTTGGCTGCTCATAAGAACAATTACGAAATCCTCAAGCTTTTGATTGACAGGGGTGCGACCATCCCAATGCCGCATGACATCAGGTGACGTGTATTTTCAATTGAATTTGTAATGATTTCTGGAGTGGACGTTTTTTTTTGGAAGTGGGGGTTCTCATTGCCACGGTATGGAGATGTCCTGTGAACGCAATGGAATATTATTGGTCATCTGCAGTATCAAGCTTTCTTTTTAGATGTGGGTGTGACGAGTGTGTGGAGTCTTCATCCTCTGACTCGTTGCGACATTCCATGGCCAGAATAAACGCCTACAGGGCATTGGCTTCGCCATCGTTAATCGCCTTGTCATCTACCGACCCCATTCTGACTGCTTTTGAGCTTTCCTGGGAGCTGAAAACTCTGGCTTACACAGAACATGAGTTTAAAGCTGAATATATGGTGAGCTTCCTCGGTAGAAGTCATTCGGCTGTATGTCAGAGATTTCTATCGCATGGACTACTGAAGAGTAGTAGAAACTTTGTTCCGGGTGAAGTGAAATGCAACATCCTCTGCTTCGACCTGAGATCTGGAATGTAAACTTCCTAATTTTTAACCAAATCAAAAATATATTGCCTGTATTCTTTTCTGGTATTTTTTCAATAACTTGGCAAAGTTGACGCCAAGTACAAATTTGCGTTCGGATCCTGAGTAATTTTGTGCGACCACCAACTGAAGTTAGAAGCGCTGCATTTTATCCGCTGAGATTATCTTGATTGACTTGCATTTTTCTTTGAGGTCTCCTATTAACTCTTCCACCTTTGCTCGACAAACAGTCATTTCAAACATTGAAAACCTACCTATGTTGCGTACACCCTCATTCATGAATGCGCAAGAAATTAAGGGAAAATTCGGGCATTTCCGATAACTGTATGTGTTTGTTTCCTCTTGTGCATGGTAATTCACCCAACTCTACGAAAAAGCGTCCCGTGAGAATTCCGTTCAGGTTTTCATGCCCCCCGCGAAGTGGTATAAAGCCCGATACGACTTGAAGGGAGGGATTTGCGTTTTAACTAACGTTTCATTACAGGACTTGAAAAGACAGTGTATGTCATTCGCCGAGTCACTCCTGAACCAGACGAGGAGTTCCCAGGAGCTCGCTATCATCTTGAATTATGACCCACACACGGATGTACCTTACCAAGATGGGGACCACATGAAGCTTGCGAGACTTGAACTGGCCATAGATTACAAGCAGAAGAAGGTGAGGAGGCTTTTTGGCTGAAAAAAAAAAAAAAAAGAATGGGTTTAAGGATCTGTTGTTTGTGAAGTTCGTTGCGCATCCTCATATTCAACAACTACTGGCTTCCCTGTGGTATGATGGGCTTCCTGGGTTCAGACGGAAAACGCCTTTGATGAAAGCTTTGGAGATCGTGAAAGTTGCCGTCTTATTTCCTTACTACTGTGCTTTATACATGATCGCCCCTGGGTCAAGTTCGGGAAAGCTCATGAAGAAACCGTTCATGAAATTTCTCATCCACTCATCCTCCTATTTGTTCTTTTTGTGTAAGTTTTGTTTCGAATGCAGCCTTAAATATAGCTTGATATCGCCTTTGTTTTGGTGTTTTCAGTTCTGTTGATTTTGATGTCCCAGAGGGTCGAGGAAAAGTTGCTGGAGCTGGTGTTGGGCTACCAGGACCATGGTGGTATAAAACAGCAACGTGGACTCGGGCCTACGATCGTGGAAGCTGCGGTTTTGCTTTACATTTTTGGTACAGTCACGTTACTTCTCGATTTGTGAATCTAGTTTCATTCAATGCTTCGGTGTGCCAGGCTTTTTGTGGGAGGAAATCAAGGAACTCTGGAGTGAGGGATTGGTTCAGTATTTGGACGACTTGTGGAATGTGGTCGATGTGAGCAGAAACGTGCTGTATGTCACCACGGTCATCCTCAGGGTGTTCGCGTATATAGAGCAGACGCGAGAAATCAAGTTGAACCCCGCCGTGGCCTTTCTGCCGAGGGAAATGTGGGACCCGTATGATGCCCAACTCATAGCCGAAGGTCTCTGTGCTGCAGCCAATGTTCTTAGGTGGGATTTCACGATTGAATGTCAATTGGGGGTAGGGCTAAGACAGTCTCCTTCTTTTATATTTTATTCAGTGCGTTGAAGCTGGTGCACATGTTCAGCATTAACCCTTACCTGGGGCCTTTGCAAGTCTCCTTAGGCAGGATGGTGATCGACATAATCAAGTTCATCTTGATCTACACCTTGGTTTTGTTCGCGTTTGCCTGTGGTTTGAACCAGTTGCTTTGGTATTATGCTGATCTGGAGAGACAAGTGTGTTTCAGCCTTCCGGACGGGCTACCAGACTGGGTTGGGCAAAGCTCTGCGTGCATGAACTGGAGGAGATTCGCCAAGTCAGCCGAGTTCCACCATTTTTCTTCCTTTTTTCGGGTTTATTCATTCTCATCCGCTTTTTTTTTTTAGCTTGTTTGAAGCTACGCAGTCGATGTTCTGGGCAACGTTCGGCTTGTGGGGATTGGAAGCCTTCCAGCTGAAGGGAATCCAGAGTTACACGAGGTTCTGGGCCATGCTGATGTTTGGTTGCTACTCCATCATCAATGTGGTGGTGTTGCTGAATCTCCTCATTGCCATGATGTCCCATTCGTTCACTGTCATCACGGTGAGTGCTTGAATGCCTCGTCCGACATCCTCTCGTTCCACTTGAGGGTTTCTCTAGGAAAAAGCGGATTCCGAGTGGAAGTTTGCCCGGACCGAGCTGTGGTTGAAGTACTTTGAGCCTGGATCGACTCTTCCGCCTCCGTTCAATCTAATACCTTCGCCGAAAACCATTCTTCGACTGTTGAAAGGACGCTCCACGAACCCGAAAGACCCCAGATCCATCAAGGTACGTTCTTTTTGTCAAACTCGATGAATCGTGTTCATTTCACACTTCACCGACAGAAAAAGGCCAATGAATCGAAAGAGAGGGATTATAGACACATGGCCGTGATGAGGGCTTTGGTTTGGAGGTATATCATCCAGCAGCAAAGAAGTGCAGAGGAACGTGAAGTCACGGAAGATGACATCAGCGAAGTGAAGAATGACATCTCTTCATTCAGATGTGACATGCTGGAGGTCTTCAAATCGAATGGTTTCGCCGTTGATGATATCATGAAGAAGGAAAGCTACAGCGGTAATATAAATTTTGTTTTGCGTTCGTCTGATCCGGATGCATCAGTATTCCTTCGGCGTAATCGAGTACAGTAACCGATAATCTGGCTCCCGATCAAGACACGATTAATCTCATCATTCACCTGAGGGTTTCAAATGCCTTAAGTTTCATTAAACTGAAGATGAAGAAATTTCTAATTTTGTTTTATTTAACTGCAGTGCTTTGAATGAATTTTACTGCGAGTCATTTGAGTCCCAGAAGTCTGGATTCTGTTTCGAGATAATCTGTTTCGGGCCAAGCTTTCCGTGGACTTCATGTTCCTTTCAAAAATTGTTCGGTCCTACTCATTGCTTTTTTAATACGATCTCCTAATCCTCCCTTTCCTTTGGAGTAGTGCATCCTGTGGTTACAGTAAGAAGGAGAGAATTACAGACTATACAGTGGACCCGTTTTCCTACATAAAAAATTAGATTGAACGAAGTTGTAGGAACTCAAACCCAGAAGCTTGTTGGTTTATTTTGTAGCACTGTACTTTACAATGTACATAAGGTCCCTCTTTATGGAGCCAATCCTACTGATAAATTTTGTTCTGTAATCCCTTTCAGTTTGTAGAAAGAGCAGGATCTGGGAGCGCAGACTATTGAAAGACTTCCATGTGTCGCCGATTGCGGGTTCTGGGGATAGAATTCTCGGAGCAGCTGACAAGACTGAAGAACCCAAGGAGAAATTCCGGCGAGTTGCAAGAATGGTGATAGGAAAACAGCAGGCAGTCTTCAGCAAGTGGGCTCTGGTTGTACGGCAAGCGCAGAAAATGTAGAACCCTAGTGGGGATAGTGTGGACCCATGCAATTGTCATCTGTGAGCTTTGTTTTACAGGAGTCATATTGGTTGTACCCCGAGAAGCGCATTGCCGCATCGGCAGAGCCTGAAGAAAGCAATGGAAGAAGCTGCCAAATTGATGTACATCAAGTCCGACTCTCCGTTGGTTGGTAGGTCGCCGATTCTGATCAACAGTGCTGCTGAAGGCAGGCGTCTCCTGGACCTGCTGAAGAGTCCGTTGGCTGAAAGAGCTGCAGCTTTGAGCAAAGAGAAACATCATTCTGACAACTTCTTGGAAGTGCCTCCTCGGCCGGGCATCTTCAGGGTAGTGACAAACGAAGACAGCTCGGGAGCAGCGACTCCGGTGCCAGACGCTGCAGGTTATTATGCCTTTTCAGCTGTCTAGTGGGAACATCAAATGACTGAGGGGCTTCTTTAATGTGTGCAGAGAGCGATTATGAATCGAGAAAGCCGGAGCCATCACCCATCCTGAGTCTAGCAAAGGCAGTGATGAAATTGCAGGATGCTGAGGATGCCATGCACGAGGTACTTGAAGTGCCGGTGGACCTACCGCCGCCATTGCCGTTGTGCGACCCCCCACCATCATTGCCGCTGTTCGAGCCTCCCTCATCAGAACTGGAACCGCCAGTGGAAGAAGCTCATGCAGATGTTGAAAGTGGGGATGAAACAGACCTCGTGCCGGACTGCCGGGCGGAGGACGAAGAAACACCCAAGCCCGACGTCACTCTCATGGAACCATTGAAACCTGAGCCGAAGAACCTCCGTAAACCATCCACATCATCCCTGGAGCAAGTGATCGTCGGCACTGATCATCAAGATCTTCGCCTCGATTTTTCGAAGGACACCAAGAAAACTGAATCGTCCGAGTGCCTCATCCCACCGTCTCCCCCAGAAATCGTAGAAGAACCGGAGCCCTCGCCAAGATCCTCTCCTTTTCAGAAAGGCGCCGGCTGGATCTAAGCCTAATATCTTCAGAATATTTCAATTTGTTCCTTGCACTCCCAAGCATTTGAATCACATACGCTTAATTAAAAGTAAAGGGGATCCATCATATTTGCTCCAGGGAGAAATACAGCAGTGCTATCCCTTGTACATCCGTCTCTTTCCTTTATCCAGCCATCTCTTCCAGGGTATGAACGGTAAATGGCAACTGTGTGTTCGTGTATGAACAATAAATTTTGAAAAATCCCTTCCGATTCCCAACTGGTACAATATCGTAATTTTGGCTAGATTATACTTCCTTATTCCAGGAAGTTGGACCGACTTCCTCATGAATACGGATTAATAACTTTTCGCAGGTGGTCGTATTGCAGTTTCAATTGATGTTTCAGGATTGCGTTTTTCCGCCCCACTTCGCATTTTAAGCTCAGTAAGTTTTACAGTTCTTCGTAGGAAGCATCGAGTAGAATCTGCGCTTTTCCGGGTGTTGAATTCTTTCGAGCATAATTGACGTGATTTTTGTGTTCTGCCCACGATCGGGATTCATAGGTTTTTAAATGTAATGGACTAAGTATGAATAGGAGCGATCGTGAAACGCAAGCTAATACAGGTCGGGAAGCTTGCACCTCAAATACGGTAGATTTGTTTAATGCTGGTCAGCCAGAAGTAAATCTTTCATATTTCTTTCCTTTTGTGGAGTACATTTGGCTCAAAGTTAAACAGCACCAAAACTTGAAAAAATCACATTCATCATTCGTTTTGAGTTGTAGAAAGCTGCATGGATTCCCATCGAAGTGGCCCTTCACAATCTGCCACATTTCCGTTGTTTTCCGAAGATCCCTTGAAATCATACACTTCAAGAAATTGCACGGACTTCTAGTTTCCGCTCTCGAGTTTCCAGAACACCGTAGCAGGCGATACCCAGTGTGAGAACGGATAAGAGCGAGTACAACTTTATGCGCACGCAAAGGAGCGGGCTCGCGAGAAACGCTATGATAAATCCAAGGCTTTCAAATACCTTGTACGCGCTGAAGGCTGCTTCCACGTTGTCATGGAAAAGCACCCCGTGAAGCCCTAAAAGAAAAGCTTTAACTTAAGATCACGGTTCATCAAGCATGTGTAGCGCGCAGCTCACCATTGATCTGAGTCTGCCAAATGGAATCTGCAAGCATGTACGTCCCTGCCATGATGAACAAGGCGTATGTTTCGTCTACGCTTGGCTCCCAAGTGAGAAGGTACACTAGGGTCGCTACATTCACCACAAACGCAGCAAGGAAGACTGGGATCCTACCGGTGTATTTTACGATCTTTCCGGAAAACGCTGATCCGAAAGAATTCATTGCTTTTGCAGCCATCAGCACGTATCCAATCTTCTCTATTCCCCACGTGCATCCAACAAAAGCCTGTAAATCAGAACTTTTCAGTTTGAAAATTTTCACGGATCATTTTTCATGAGCAACTTTGCTGAAATCCGCTTCGAAGAAGCCCTGCTCCATTCCACCGTAGAATACAAGAACCAGGATCAACGCCTGGTTCAAGTTCTTGAGCTGTGCGAACGTCGCAAATACAAGTTTAAAACCGCTGGTTTGCCTCTCATTCGCAACTTTTTGGAATCTACACAAAAGCATCTTCCGTAAGAATATTGTAACGTATAAAATCGTGATATTTACTATTTACCGTGACAGTGGATCAAGGAGGAAGGCAATGAAAAGAGCAGAAGAGAACGCGATTGCGACAAATATCCCGGATATGAGATGAATTCTCCATTCCTCAGGTCGTTTCAAATTTTCCACTTGGTCGACGAAGTCTTCGCAGAAATTTTTTCCGCAAAAACTGACGTCAGTTGTATTCCTCTTGGTTTCACCCGACGAAAGAACTGGAAATTCATACTATGCTTCAATTCTTTCCTTGGGAAAAGACGTGCTCTACCTGAAGACGTGATGAGGTTTCCCCAGATCCCTGCCGACTGAAAGGTGGCGAAGAAAATCCCGAAGAAAAGCATGACAGTAGAATGTTCCGACGATTGTTTGTTTTCTGTCCGTTGTAGGGCGCACAATTCGGAGTACCGCTTCCCAATTACGGAAATGTAGGTACATTTTGCTGACCAAAGTGGGGCTGCAGCCAACCCTACCAGAAGCCCAGTAGGCAGTAAAGTGTAGAAATTTGGATGGAACTGCGCAGCTATGTACCCCATGTAACACAGGTTGCAAACCACAATAGTCCATTTCGCAGTCAGCTTGTGGATTGTGAAGGTGACCAGAAACAATGAGGAGAAAACTAATCCAACGTAAATGACAGTTAGGGAATAAGTACCTAACCCATTATCAGAATTTATTGAGCTTTGCAGCGCGGAAACACTGGAGAATGACATGAAGAGTAGCAAGAAACCCAAGCTTACAACAAGGACATTTTTCCATATGCGGATTTTTTCGTTTCGGATTTGTTTTGGGGTGAGCACTTCGGTCTGATCCATGTTGCGGACTAATCTCGGAACTTCCTCTTGTGGGAATATATACTGATGGTTGATATGGTGGTGATGAGGCAATGAGGCTGGATGCATGTACAAGAGAGTTCATTTCCTTTCTCTTTCCTGCTGGTTGTCCTGGATAAGCGCCCCACACTGTGTAGTATAGCCGTGCTGCGTTTCGTAAGTGTGTAACGATTCCTGACAGCTTCAGGCAATGATGGCGGCAGGGGTGATCATATGTACGATGCAATAATATCTCTTGGGACCCAGCATGTTGTACGAACCAGGTACTGGGCTCCAGCATGGGTTGTGCAGTGTTGTACACTGGAGCAGTTTTTAATCGATACAGATACTGTACGGTATATCCAAGCACCCGGAGGTATGCCACACTGGATTACGCCAAGTATAGTAGTGTACCATGGCTTGGGGAAAATCGATCAGTCGACTTATACATCGCACCGCATACGAGGCGATGAAAATGCCATTTTCGATAAATATTTTTCGAATCCAAGCGATGTCTTCTCATTCTGTAAGTATTTGTGATACTATATTAAAGTTGTCGTACAGTACTCGACGTGGGTTTTTGTAATAAGTGGCGACCTGGAAAAACTTCCAGGCTTACTCTCATTTTGCAGGAGGTCACCGCTGGGTCGCATGGCGCGATCGATTCGAGAATTTGGTTCCATCGTGGGATATGTAATAGTGGAATTGACGGATCTATCCGAATTTGCAATTCCTTATGAGAATGTGGTTAGTGTATGTTATCGATTACAAAGTGACATGATTCCGAATGCTGGGAGAGCGATAAGCTTACAAGTGCGTTCCAGTTCCGTTATCTGTGTTCTTTCACAAAATCGTTGAAGTCTTCGAGATTCGACGCGTGTTCCGACCTGTATGATTTGTCGACCGGGGTGATTTGATTATGCAAGGGTTTTGGATGGCTCTCCTCTAGACATTTCGACTGCATCCGATGCAAATTCGTGGAAGGGTGATTTGGTGCTGAAGTCTTTTACTGAATAGCATGCTGTAGTATTTTAGTTGTAATGGGAAACGTGTACACTGTTGGGCCAAACGAGGCCCTCGTCGTCTCCGGTGAGTTTTGTAATTCTTCCGATTGCGGTCGTAGTACAGTACAGTATTGGAAAAATTATTCCAGGTGGCTGTTGTGGATCGGCTCAGAAGCGAACTATTGTTGGAGGATGGGCGTGGGCTTGGTGGCTCGTTACCGACGTACAAAAGCTCTCGCTGGAGGTAGAACAATCCATGTTTCTCGAATGAGTTCCGTATTCATATTTGTTTACTCCAAGGTGATGACGATCACCCCGGTGTGCGAGCATGTTGAGACCGCACAGGGCGTTCCACTGACCGTCACCGGTGTCGCACAGTGCAAAATCATCACTGCCTCTGAGCTTTTGCAAACTGCGTCAGAACAGTTCTTGGGGAAATCTATCCAGGAAATCATGGACACCGTCCTTCAGACTTTGGAAGGACACCTCCGTGCCATTCTTGGTGATGCCTGACCGTGATTGCGTAGACCTTATGATTCTATTTTCCTGGTAATTGTAGGTACCCTAACTGTGGAGGAAGTGTACAAAGATCGGGATCAGTTCGCTACACTTGTTCGCGAAGTTGCCGCACCTGACGTCGGCCGCATGGGAATCGAAATCCTTTCTTTCACGATTAAAGACATATTTGATAACGTTGATTACTTATCGTCGCTAGGGAAGACTCAGACAGCTAACGTGAAACGTGACGCCGACGTTGGGGTAGCTCAAGTGAGTTTCAGTTCGTGGCGTTCATCGCCGTTTTCAATTCTACAAAAGATACCTACCAGGCGAATCGAGATGCTGGGATTCGTGAAGCGGAGTGCGAAAAAGCTGCTATGGATGTCAAATGCTCCACTGATGCTCGAATTGAAGATGCAACAAGAGGCCTGAAGGTCCGAAAAGCCGAGTTCGACACAGAAGTTGGTCGTGCGGTACGCTTCTCCCGTTGTATTTCCTCTGTTTTTGGAGCAAATTTTCGAGAAGACCAGTTGGGTCAATCGAACAAGCATACATTAGTTGCAGGAATCTGAAGTATTACGGTTTTATAACCGCGTGTTACTTTTAAGCTCCTGAATTGCTGCGTATCGGCAAAATTTTCCGCGGCTGGGTATTTTATCTGTATTTTCTTTGCGTTTGTGTGTCCACCCTGGCACTTGTACAGTTTTTGTTGTTTTTCCGAATGTTATAGTAAAGCTTGTGAAATGTTTCTTCTTCACAGAAAGCAGAAGCGCAATTAGCGTACAGCCTCCAAGCCGCCAAGATCCAGCAGAAGATCAGGAATGAGGAAATTCAAATCCGCGTGGTGGAGCGTCGCAAGATGATTGAGGTGGAAGACCAGGAGATCAAGCGCAAGGAAAAGGAGTTGATGGGAACGGTGAAGCTGCCTGCAGAGGCTGAATCCTACCGCATGGAGCTGGTAGCTGAGGGCAAACGTGCTCAGACAGTTGCTGCAGCGAAAGCTGAGAGCGAGGCCATCAGGTTGGTGCCTACATTTCTGGAGCACTTTTGCGGTATTGAGAGCCTTCTCTTTTCACAGATTGGTGGGAGCTGCGGAAGCGGAGAGCATTGAGGCTGTCGGGAAAGCTGAGGCAGAGAGAATGAGGATGAAAGCTGCTGCTTACAAGCAGTACGGGGATGCCGCCGTCATGTCACTTGTGCTGGAGGCACTGCCTAAGGTTGGTTCACGTCCAATGTGGTTCTCGACAATTTACGTGATTAGCCTGTCTCATTCGGAAAAAAATCTGCCAATTCCCTCCTCGACGAGCACAGTTTTTTCCGAGGATGTCCTTTTGTAAATCTCGATTTCGATTTTCAAAAAGAATCTGGGTTCGTTTTGGAAATCGTCAACGTAAGCACCAATCGTTCACATGCGAACACCTAGTGTACGAGATGGCTCGAAACCAGATACCCCATTTAAATGAACAGAGGACCTCAACTACGCATGTGAACGCCGTGGTAACCCCAAAAGTGCGGGTTTGATTGATATTCAGTAGTGACATGGGCAATCCCAATGGAAAGATAAAAGAAGCAAACATTCATTTACAGTCAACTGCTGGATTGTGTTCAGTGGTGCATGCTTTTTTTTTTAATCGTAAAGCGAATGACAGCGCATATTCAAGTACAGTAATTGGTGACCTCGTGAGTTTGAGAGGCTGAAAATTATTGCCTCTGGGAATCGACGTTTTTATGCCCATCAATCGCGTGCTTGATGTGCTTCGGATTAACGCTACGTTATCTTGACAGATTGCAGCTGAGGTGGCTGCCCCGCTGGCGAAAACTGAAGAGATAGTGTTGATCGGCGGTGATGACCGTACGACCGCGGAGGTGAACAGGTTGGTCAGCCAAATCCCACCTGCCGTCCACGCTTTGACCGGTGTTGACCTGTCCAAGGTTTGTCTGTTTCCCTCGTAGTTGGTTTCCGTTTTCATTTTTAGCGTAGCGTTTAAGTTGATTATTTCGTCCCAAGGCTGTTGGATCCTGGCTTGGAGGGACTCCGGTTCGAGCAGGAGGGGACTCCTGAATCTCTCCATATTTCGCTCAAGCATGCTACTTGTCCACGTTTGCGTTCATAGTGCATGTTCTTATGTTGCTTATGATACTAGCGCCAAAAGAAATATCGATTTTGTCATTTTTCGACGTTCCTTTGTCGATGATTCGGCCGAATTTCGTATCGATTTACTAATTTGAGGGGCAAACCGACAAATATCTTACTCCACTCGGGGAAGATTGCCCATGCTTTGTTTTAATCAGTGCGGAGGATTAATCCTGGACTGTTTGATGGAAGGATTGTGCTTTTTTTTTAATATTTTCGCAAAATTTAAATGACTGCCGGGACGTATCGAGCTGAGCAGCAGAAAATACTTGTTAGTACTGTATTCAGGTTTAACGCTGATTTACTTGGTACTTTTGCGTTGGTTCGTTCCTTTCTCTTTCGTAATCTCGGTAGAAAAAAAGCTGTTTCACCTTTTTGTTGTTGTTACGAGAACCACTTGAAATCGGCGCGTTTCGAAGTGTTTGAAGACAAAACCAGGAAGTTTGTGTTATCTCACCAGGTTCTTCACAAAATTCCGGGAGCGTCCTAGTTGCCAGGAGATGCCAAAAAACGGAGGAGAAATTAAATCAAGCCTCATCGTTCTATAGTCATGTTCCATATTATGGGCTTTTTTTCGTTTCACAAGCTTCGATCTCAAATTGTGGAATATTTGTCTCGTGGGCATTGTAGAAGCTTATCTCTGGGGATTCTCTGTAAGTACAGTACAGTTTTTGTCCGACTGCAAACAAGACGTTGAGTATGATGTGCCAGTGTTGTTCCGGTTGTCGCGGCCTACTCCTCCCATGACGTTTTTGCTCCGGAACTTTGAAGCGCAGCTGTGTGTAGAATGACGTGTGATCTGTGTCCGCAATCTTGAACAAAATGTTTCTCTTTCTGCAAACTTGTAATACTCTTAGAAGACGCAGCGAGTGCCTCTGAACGCTTGTCCGAAACCGATGATTGATTTGTTTTGCTTTGCGAAAAGGTATTTCTGGAACGAACGGGAGGTTTTTGCAGTCTTCGTACGTAAAGCAAATGACTGCCGGATACTCCTCGAAAGCTTCGTCATCTTCACGATGCATTGTTCACTTGCAGTATTTAAGCAACAAAATCCTGGTACAGTAGTAGAAATCAGTTGGTCTGCGTCGTAAGTTTCATTTTCACCGCTTGAATAAATGTGAGAGGTCGCGCGGAAACGGAGCAAGTCTCGTAAGTAGAGAAAGCTTGTGTTTTGTGGGTGTTCGTGCGAGCAATACAAGGTTATTTTTGAGCATTTTTCCATGACAGATCGGTTTTGTTATGGTTCTTGCATCTATTGTTTTTCGGTTATCCGACGCGACAATAAAATTATTCCCTCTGGTCAAATTGAGAATTTGAGACTGTTCAGCATTTTTTTCTTGCCATTTGCGAGGGAGCTGGGTCTGCATTTTTTGGGGGGAAAACTCATGGGTTTTATATGCACGGTTTTTATTTTGAGCAGACATGGTGTGATGGAATGTAGAACTCCGCTCTCTGTGAATGAGCGGTCGTTAATCGCTGCTATCGTTATCTGACATGGAGAAATCGATACACTGCGTCACTCGAAGGGATGGAGTAGTTGCTGTGTAGCTGGGCGAGCGTGACAATGGAGCTGGAACCGGGGGTCGAGTTTCCGGATTTGGTGGTGATCGGGATTTATTTCCTGATCATCCTCTCCGTCGGCCTGTGGGTGAGTGTTTCATTTTTTTTTTTTTTTGTGACCGAGATTTCATGGGAGAAAACGAGCAGCTTTGTCATGATCTTTCTTTCGAGAGAAAGCTTGTTCACTTTGTTATGAATGAGTCGTCCGAAACCCTGCTGATTTGTTGCTCCAATGCTGACAACTTCTCGGCTTCAGAGTTAAGATCAATGTTCCCCAACCTTTTTGAGCGCGCTGACCGGCAAATGTTGATACAATTTTTTTCGGACCAGGAAAGTTCTATAAGATTTTTGCAGACCAACAGGCATTTTTTAATGCCTCCCATAAAGTCCTTCTGCCAATACTTTCATTGCAGAAATTTAGTCAAGAACCGAAGGAGCAGCTGTGGTGGAATTTGCTTCGAAAAATTAGAAAGCTAGGCTTTAAGAAAGGTTCCTCGGAATGAATGCATGAAATAATTTAGTTCAGCAGGTGAAATTTTGTCTGAAGTTTTACAGTTGACCCTCGATTTTTTTTCTGATTAACCTCTGAATTCCCTTAGAAACAACGCATTGAAAACCTCTCCAATGCAATCCGTAACTCGGATTCCTTGAGGCCTTTTGGTTATTTCTTGACGCAGGAAAGAGAAAAGCAACGAACAGAAATAGCTTGATGAGCTTTGAAAGGAAGTGAAAGACCAATTGGGGGCAAAGAAACCCCTGCTTCCAAGTTCAGCATCCTGTCAAGTGTCAACTCATTTAAGAAGCAATGTAATGTCCAGAATATCATTGTTTACAATTTTCTAGTCTATCTCTCCCAAACAAAAAAAAAACTCGGTTCCTCAACTCAAAACCCCATTAACTCAATTTTAGTTGCAGTTCTCTTGGAAGTCGACGTGGAGAGGTTCGCCTGTATTAAGAGAACTGCCTGTTTTTTGATCAAATGATTGTAAATGCCATTGTTATTCCGACATTTCAGATAAATGTAAGCGATTTCAATACTAAATTTGATAGATTCATTATGCTGAAGAAAAGCTCCCACACATGGACAAAAAAATGCATGTCAACTGCCAGCAATCCATGGACTGTAGTCCAATGAATATCATGACTACAATATACCGCACTTTTGTTATGTTCCCTCGTCTGTTCCACGTTCTGTTCCGCATTGTTAATCAAATGCGCAACTGCACCTTTATTTCCTTCAAATGTCTTCCTACGTTGTACGCCTTTTACCTTGGTTGCTGCGCAACTAAGTATGTCAACACCAATCCAAATCAGTTGCTACGCTTGTTGCTGACCTCAAACGCTATTGTCTATAAATAGGAGTGTCCACTATCTTATGTTAAGTTTACTCTGACCAAATGCTTGCTGTGAGAACCTCATTTTTGCTGTTGCTCACATATTCTATGTTTTGTGAAACGGAATAAACTATGCACTTGTACAGTTTGTTGAAGTCTATTTTTGATTCTCTGAAAGCACAAGGAAGATGTTTCAAATCTTCAACACCAACATCACTGCTGGTCAAGTTCAGATTAATGAAAGGATTTGTCTGATCAACAATACTAAAATCTTGAATTCACCCTAGTTAAGACAACAGGACTGTGGGTTGCAGACCACTGCTTCAGATTCCTTGCAAGGATCTTCCAAGTCAAATAGCTTTTCTCCTCAATACTGTTCCAGTGCATCTTAACTCAATTTTTTCCGAGGCTTCTTCCACAGCCCCGAAATTTTGTTTTTCTTTTGGCACTCCGTAGTCTGAACCGGGGAAAAATTCCCAATTCAGACTAGCAACAGATGAAGGGTGAGAAAGTCTATGGGGACCTCTAGATCCATCACACAAATAATGATCTGCACCCTTTTATGCGGAAAATCCCTCCCAATCCATTTGATTGGTTCATAATTTGGATAATTTCTCATGATTATTGTATCTTCAGTGCTTGCGGTCAATTTGTATGGTACTGTACGTATTGTTTTATTTAGTGGAATTACCCTTGCAATGTTTCTGAACGTACAGTGCTGTACTGTGAAATCCAGAGAGTTAGTTTCCAATCATCCCATGACGAATCTCCCGGGAAATCATTCGTAAATGTGGCGATCGAGGAAAATAAACGGATTTCCTGAGGGCGAAGGCTTCAGGGCGTGCTTCTCGATTGACCGTGCATTTATATATGTTTTTCCTCAGTCTTCCAAACGCACGTCTGGTCAAGGTGTTTCCAGCTATTTCTTGGCTTCCCGAAATATGCACTTCTTACCCGTGAGCATTGCAATTTTTTTGAAAGTTGAAATCTCGCACGTCGTAATGATTTTTTTTATTGTGATTGCGAAGGTTGGCGCTTCCTTATTCGCTAGCAACATAGGCAGTGAGCACTTCATAGGACTGGCTGGCTCAGGTGCTGCGTCTGGGATCGCGATTGCTTGCTTTGAACTACACGTGAGTGAACTTGGTCTCCGTCTGGATTTTTAGCGTTTCCTCGTTACGGCTGCCCCGCATTTCTTCTCTGCCCGACGTAAAGTACAGTACAACGGATTTTGCGTAGCTCAACTGGACAGTAACGCGATTGAATAGTTTCCGGATACTGTGTTGAGGAAATTGTGACGGTGGACTTTAAGGGAAGGGTATTTGGATGGGTTTTGGCGTTAGTTGCGTGTGGTTAGGTATGTAAATTGGATGTGGGTTCGGCCGTTTACATTGTTGCTGGGTGAAATGTTGGATTTACGTACTGAGAAACACGGGGCAGCTGTGACGGTGCTAAAATTTGACAACACGTGAATGTAATGAATAACAAGCAATGCGTAATTTCAGGCGATGTTCACGATGGTTGTGCTTGGTTGGATTTTTGTGCCGGTTTATCGGGCAAGTGGTGTGTTCACGATGCCTGAGTATTTGAGGAAACGTTACGGTGGACAGAGGATTCGCATTTATATTTCTTGCCTAGCGCTGATGCTGTATGTCTTCGTGAAAGTATCCGTGAGTACTCGTCCGTTTTTCTCTCGAAATTTCAAGTGAACGTTTGTTTGTGAGTGGAAAGAATGCGAGAAAAACGTGTGAAGACGTGAGATGCCTCATTTCATGACTACTAGTGAAGCACTGTACAGTATTTGAAATGTTCATTTCGTTTCGTGATGCTCTGCTCGAGAGTGCTTTGTAGGTTCACTCGACCCAAGATAGGCCGCATCATGGTGCTTAGGTCAAACACTTTTTTGTACGGTGGGACCCCGACATACGGACAATTCGACGTAGGGACATTTCATAGCTAAAATGCCAGGCTGACATTCTGGCAATGTCCCAAGATAGACACTTTTCCAACGTTTCGAGACAAAAAGAAATTTTTTTTTTGAAAATGTTGGTAACTCTTGAACAAATTGTAATTCACGAAAAAGAAAAATTAATTCATTATAAATAAATTTACTATAATTCATGATCGAAAAGTGGCTAATTTTGTGCTTCTTTTTCAGACTTCTCTCCATCATCTGAGCAGGGTATAGGACTTGTGCTTGTTCTTCATGGTTTTCACTGTCCTTTCCTTTGTCTTGAAAAATTTGAGAAAATTTATTCAATCTATTTTTTCGGGAGGCTTTCTCCAAATGTTTGTTCAACAGGAAACCTATTACATACACCTGTACTCCCATTGAAGTCTAAAATAAAACGTGATCCGACATGTGGGCGTTCCAACATTGGGACAAGGTCGAAGCATCCAATTACGTCCGCATCTCGGGGCCCCTCTTCACTGTAAAATATTCGCATGCATCTGTAAGACCGATGTTAGGGGCATTGTAATATTCGAAAAGGAAAGCCGTGGTAATTAATCTGGACAAATGCTTTTGTTTTTCAGGCGGATTTGTATGCTGGATCAATTTTTATGGACCAAGCGTTCGGGTTTAAGCAATGGTACATTTCCGTTCTAGTCCTTTTGCTGATAGCCGGTATTTTCACTATTGCCGGAGGACTTTCCGCCGTTATCTGGACCGACTCCGTCCAGGCACTCATCATGGTTTCCGGAGCATTCATTGTGATGGTCAAGAGTAAGCGCTTGCATCATCTTTCCCAGCTCGCAAGAATGAACGAATTTATGTATGGGATATTTTCCCTTCCGCCAGGTTTTGTGGCTGTTGATGGACTGGAAGGGCTGTCTTCCAAGTTTTTCTCGGCTAGGGCCGCGAACGCAACCTGGGACAGCGTGTTGAACAAGACTTGTGGTGACCCGCCGAGTGACGCCATGCACCTGTTCCGGTCTGCGGTTCCTGGAAAGGCTGACATTCCCTGGACCGGGGTTGTTTTCGGACTTCCTGTCTCGGCCGTCTGGTACTGGTGCACTGATCAGGTGATGCTGGATTCAGGACGATCCCTTGTCTGAAGGATTTCTGAGAATGAATGAACGTGTGTGTGTGTCGCAGGTGATTGTTCAGCGCGTTCTCGCGTCGAGAAACATGACCCACGCGAAAGCAGGCTGTATGGTGTCTGCCTACTTGAAGTTCTTGCCGTTGTTCCTGCTGGTGCTTCCTGGAATGGCCGCCAGGATCCTGTATCCGAACCAAGTTGGTTGTGCTGACCCGGAAACGTGCGAAAAGTTCTGCGGGAACCGCCAAGGATGTTGGAACATAGCGTACCCGTATTTGGTGATAAAATTACTTCCTGCTGGTCTCAGGGGTGTCATGTTGGCTGTCATGATGGCTGCGATTATGAGCTCTCTCACTTCCATCTTCAATTCCGCCTCGACTGTTTTTACCATTGACATCTGGAAAAGGTTTAGGAAGGGATGTTCCGAAGCTGAGCAGCTCTTCGTTGGCAAGTGAGTCGTCGTCCAGACGATGGATACGTTTTTCCTGAAGCCCCTCATCCAAATTTTGTGTTTCTGTTCGGCCGAAAGTTTGATTAGTTTTTTGGGAATTGCTCGTGTTCATTTGGACTTGGAGTGTTCTTCAATTATAACTACACGCATGCGAGGGTCAGTTCAATAATTCTCCCAGTGTCATCTTGGATCTTTGGCTCATTTTTCTCCCTCCAGTATGAAATTATGGGAAAAGAAACGAGAATCCAAATTTTTCCGGGTTCTTTGGAAATTTAAGTCAGATACGACCTTCATGGCCTGAGTGCTGTTGAGCGTTTCAATCGAAGGGAAAATCACGGGTTGTACGTGGGGGTGCTGTCACAGATCAAAGTAGAACATGTGTTCAATTATAAGTAGTTCGTTTTGTTCAAACGAAATTTGAAGTTTGCTCCGTGATGGACATGAATCAGTGCGTGTGTAGTTTTCAAACGTCGAGGCAGTAATGCAGGAGGACCTTCACCGAACAGAAGAGAGGCCTGTATGAAGTCTGGCTGTTCGAAAGATCCTAACTCAAGAGACGGGGTGTGTGGACCCCCGAACAAAAACATTTCTGATACAGCTGTGTTTTCAGCCTTGATCGGATTGGTGGATACCTGGGGTGAGGAAGTGCATTGAAGTTGATGGACGACCAGTTGAACAGCACTGGAGTGGAGATCGTTGAAAGGCAACATGTCTCTAATACAGTACTTCTGTTGTTTAAATACACGAGATGATCTGTGGGAATATTTGAAGGTACTGGAGAAAATTCTGAACTATCCCTCCTTTTTGTGCGACATCTGCAGTTCGTTTTCCCCTCTTCCCTTCCTTGCCCGGGGTACTTGCATTGTTTACGCTTGTTGATGCCAAGTTTCCTGCGCTATTCTTGAGGCACACTTTCTCTGTCGGCTTTTTTGCTTGTTTTTCGTGAAATTCTCCTGTTTTTTCTTCAGGGTTTTTGTGGTGCTGCTGGTTTTCCTGAGTGTGGTTTGGATCCCAGTCATTATCAACACCAAGGGGAGTCAGCTGTTCCACTACATGCAAAGTGTGACGAGTTTCCTGGCCCCTCCCATCTGTGCCATCTATGTCCTTGCTATTTTCGTCCCACGGGTTAACGAGAAGGTAGCATCCGGATTTGTTTGGAATTCCAGGTGTTATAAAACTTACAACTGCCGCTTCTCGTGTTTTTTCAGGGAGCTTTCACGGGATTGATGGTTGGGTTAGCCGTGGGTCTGGTTCGTTTTGGACTCGAGTTTGCTTACAAAGCCCCGTACTGCGGTTCGGGTGAGTTTTTTTTTTTCGTTTCCGCCACGGGTGTTGATTTTGTCACGGAATAAAAGTGTGCTGAATTTTTCTTTTCTAGGTTTATCCGACACGAGGCCGGATTTCGTCAAGATCTTCGTAGGCAAGGTGCACTTTCTTCACTTCGGATTGGGCTTATTCTTGCTGGTGGCGACGGTTGCCGTGATTGTCTCTTTGTTGACGAAACCAGTGGATCCTGCTTGCGTAAGGAATACGACACTATCCGTTTTAGATGATGTACTTCAAGTCAAAGCGTCCGGTAAAGATTGAGAGTCGGATTTATTTCCTCGGAAGTCAAGTCGAGGATTCAACTTCGAGCATCAGATGCAAAACCTGAATTATTGAATGCAGTTCATCTTGACGGAAGCGGCTGAAATATTTTTTTTACCGATGAGATCCCTCCTTGAATGAATTTTTTTTTAACTCAAGCAATTGGTGAAGAATTTGAGGAAAGAGTTCTCAAAAATGTGACTAGGAATGGAATCCGCCGTACACAAAGGAAACCTTATTAAACGTAAAATACTGTACAGTACTGTACTACAGTTGTCGTATGTGTATCATAATCAAATCGCAGTTCGAAAAAATTCTTTGCACATTTTCCAAGATCTGGTTAAAATTCATTCAGAGGGTAACTTGGTATGAATTTGGTGTGAGAACCTGTGCAGACTTCATTCGAACTCCAGCAATGACTTGCTTAAAGCGAATTTATTTGACCTTGAGTCGTGCGAATATGCGTTATATTTTGTCTTCTAGAATACAGTGGACCCTCAGTTAAGAAACCAAAATTTGTTGAACAAACTTTAGTTCCCAGGCAAAAGTTCCAAATTTGGTTAGGACACGAAACAGTACGGTACAATTGAAATGCAGTTCCAATGGAAAACAATCAGAAGAATTATTGCGCGGACCGAAGGCTCACACAACACTTTTCAAGTTTGTTAAACATCCAGTGGGTATTTAAGTGAGGATGTTCCATGGTTGGAGCAGACTCAATTGAACAAATGGTAGTCCGCTGTAAGTGAAGGCACTTGCGAACAGATTTTCATAGGTTTTTCCACCATTAAATTTCTTAATTCGTTCTTTAGTAACAGCACTGTGAAATTAACATTTCATATTCTGGTGGTAGTTAACCTACTCATGTGCGAATGAAGTTTTTTGAGCGATGTTTTCATCAGTCATACTTCCATCCAACTCCAGAAAGCGTTGTGAACGGACGCACGATGCTGCAGGAACTCATTCTCATTAAATAGTAGTCCTGACATTTTTTTTTCATCATAGTTATCATTCCATTTTGTGTGCTAGGAATGGTCTAATTGGTTTCTTTATCGAAGTCCATGGGAAAGTGCAATTTTGCTGACCAACTTTTCGGTTAGCAAAGCTCTGTCCGGAACCAATCAAATTCGTTCACCAAGGGTCCGCTGTCACGATTGTTGGCTTTGAGGGATTTGGTTCAATTGCTTGAATTACGTATGTAAGCCATAAACGGATCTATTTCGATCGAAAAAGTGGTGCAGTCCACTCTCGTGCGAAATTGAGAAATTCAGAGGATTTATTTTTGAAAATTTTTCTGAACCTGGATGTTGGTTAAGCTCTATTGAAGAAACTCAAGATGATCGTTTTGGAATTACGTTACAGTTGCATCGGCTGACGTTCTGGTCGAGACATTCACCGGCGATAAGACTGGAACTGGACGATGAAAGTGCTGAGGCGAAGGAGACCACCGAATCAGTCGGTGAGCGCTAGCTTGAGTTACTTAATATTACATTTTAGGAAACTAGTGGGTTTCTCTCTCTCTCTCCCTGTACGTGACGCCATAGAGTTCATGAACGCACGAGTCCAGAAAAAAGCCTGCGTTTGTCGGGGAAAACTTCCAGCGGTTTTTCCCTCTCATAAATGTCTGGAAATACAGTAAAATTTTGTTTCAACGAATTCCTGGGGACCTTTAAAAAATCGTTATAATGAGATTCATGTTTTTTGGAGCATTCGCGGCTGAAATCTTGTGGGAAACAAATAATGAAGCTATTTCTCTACGATTTCAAGTACGTGGTGCATTTAAAGAATTTTCATTTCCAACTCTTTTCGGTGAAATGATGGAGAATAATTTGATACCTGCAGTACAGTTATCTTATTTCAGACCTTCTCTTTACCTAAAAAATGTGCTGATCTCACTGAAATATAAACGGAAGCAAAACTAAAATTCGTGTGCGGAAGAGCATTTACTCAATAAATATTGCATATTCCCGGAGATTGAGGTGTATTTCTTATACTTTTTTCAATAGCCACTCCTAAACTATCAATTGAAGGTATTGTACAGTATATACATTTTCATGAGTTTCATGCTTCATACTTCCTGCAATTATGGTAATTTTTCAGAAAAAAAGAAAATAACTGTAATTTTATTATAGCTTATAATGGTGCAAAAGTTGGATTTCCCCATTATAATGCCAATTATTAAAAATTCCTATGGCTCATGCTCACAAAACCACCGCAAGTGTTTTTTTTTTTATACAGAGAGCATTGAGGAAACTTACTTGGTTGAAACGAAATTTGTACTGGATAACATTGTTCCTATGATGAAACTGTCAGGACCAAGGAAAAATTAGTCATAACGAAATTCGGGTACTTTTCTGTTATCTCAATTCCCATTTTTCTTTCTCTTGTGAATTCAGTATTTGTGCGTTGAAAAATTTGTTAATTATGTTAGTTGAAGAGAAAAGGAACTACATCTGCTGAAACTGATTTTGGGAGGCGGTTAGGTAAAGTTAGGTTAGGTC